TAAGACTCAATGAAAACTCAGTATTCTCTATATGAGCTGGATCGGCTGTTTAAAAGGATGGCAGCCTGCTGACACATAGCTTAGTTTCGCCAAGCCCACTCTTTCTCAATCCTTTATTAGCTCCAATTACTGGGGAATTTTTGAGGGCAAATAATAAGCACTGATTACTCCATCTGAAACTCTTACATAACAATGCTCTTACAACAATTACAACTCAGAGAAGACAATGTTCCACACATCCTCGTAGGGTTAAAACACAGTCACTAGAAACTTGTGAAGACGGGGGCGTTGAAAAGCAAATAAAAAAAAAAACAACCCTGGATTTGGCGGCTGAGGTGAAGACGTGCACATAAGCTATTAATAATGACATTAGTGCTTACTGGTTTAAGGGTGAATGTCATTAAATTACAGCGATCAAATGAAACAACATTCGGTGAAACATTTGCTAGTGCACCTCGGGATTGTAGGCACCGTGATGCCAAGTGAACTGATGAAATTTCACCTTCAGGTCATAGGATGCATCTTGTTACTGAGCAGCAGAGAAAACGTCCAATAATATGAGTCATTTGGATATAGTAACAGGAAAAAACGATGAACTAGCACATTAGGCAGAGTCGTGTTGGACAGTCGCACAGACACAAACACACCAGAATACATTACAATTATGTAACCAAAGTTATGTTGTGACATGATTAAAAAGATCCAAAAATAACGCCACAGCACTGCAAAAACAACTTCAGTGAACAGGGTTATTCACAGGCTTCACTGCTAACTATCAGTGGCCTATTTGGTTTGAATATTTCCCACTGAATTCTATTTTTTGAGGCAATGGTGCCACAAATGTCTCTGTATTTGCATCCCACATGTTAGTCCTTATTCCAGACACCAGTGAAGCAGGAGGACATGTTTCCTGGTGTAACCTCTGCAGGTTGAACTGCCCTTTCCTTGTTGCAGCCATGTCTCAGAAATAAGTTCATTTTAGGATCCCCTGAAGCCAAAACATCCACAGCAACAGATAGATCTGCAATATTAAAATGACAACATGACAACATGTTAGTTGCATTCATATTGTTAACTGAAAAAAAGCAACATACTGTAAATATATTGCGATTCTTTAAAGAGTATTTTGCTATAATCCGTTGCCAAGAGACAATGGACACTGCAAAACGAAGTGAGAGCTAAAAATAAATCCAGATGTGACTGCAAAGCAGTGGCTTATGTAAGATCTGCAGAAATGAATTAGCAGATGTCTGTACAAGAGGGTGTGAGGGCAGTATTGAGTTAATGAGAAAGGTGACACACGGGAGACTTACTGTTACTTACCTCGACATTCAAATTAACTGCACGGCTCCGCTTGAAACAAGTGGTGCTATAGTTCGATACCGTATTAGGTGCTGAGAGCCTTCTTCTAGATCCACAACGTACTCTCTGACAGAAGAGACATGGTTCAGATATCATCAGTCGTTTTAGTATCTATGCAGAAAAATAAATCTCTAAGTGTGACAAGTTAACACTGCCACCTACTGGACCTTGAACTCAATAACAGCACTGTAAGTGAAACGCTGAATAAAGTACCTCTGATCGTCTGTTTCAGGCTCGACCAAGATGTTTTCCTGTCTCTCCTTCACCCGCAGAAACACAAAGGAGTCTAAGCAGGGCTCAGGCACTGGAATCACATTCGAATACAGAGGATTTAGTGTGATGGTCAACCGAAATGTCACAGCAAATGCCACCATCTGTTAGTGCATGCTAATAGCAATATTTTTGTCACGGGTCATCTGAGGCCGAGTAAATACAAAGACAGTCTGTGAGGAGACTTTACCGGCTTTGAGTAAATCCACAGTCTGCAGGTTGGGGGGCATTCGCTTCAGCGCTACAGCCTTCAGGTAGGTTTCTGTGTTAGCGTAGTACCTGTATGCCAAATGAATGTGTGGTTTGAATTACATAACTGTAATAAAATCAGCAGTAGTTTGAACAAACAGCTCCAACGTTATTCTACGATACTCACTCTTTGGCAAAGGCAAACTCTTCAGGCGAAAGCAGAGATGGATCTCCCTCACCTCGAGACTTTTCTTTCTCCAAGACATGCGGGAAAAACTTTTCAATCTAGACGTACAGAGTGCAAAGATTAGCCAATTTGTCTCAACAGACACTGAGCGAGACGAGAGCTTTGTTTTGCACCGTTGGCCTGACTGACCTTCTGCAGACGAGAGCGCAGGTAGCTGCTGAGAACAAAGCGGATCCTGTCTATTTCCATGCGATGGACGCTGGCCTTCGCATCGCCTTTCTTCACCCGCTGCAAGTTGTTTTCCTGTTGGTGGAAAGATCACAACACTGTCAGAAATAAATGTTCCTTTAATGAAGCAAGACTAAAATCTGCTTTTTTAAAAATTATTATTATAAACAGATTTTTTTTTTTTACACAAAGCATGGCAAACCAACCAGCACTGGAATATTTCTTCTGAGAAGTTAATTTTACATTGTATATAAACTGTCCAGTCTACACGTTGAAAATATGACCTAAATATTAATGTAGGGCTTCTTAGTGATGAATGTTTCATTAAGAGATAAATCATTCAGGCAACAACAAAGTGCTGATAGTCTAGATGAATGTAAAGCAACCAGGTATGCCTGACTCACTCTCAGTCAGAACTAATTTAATCAATTAATCATTCGTGGAATTTATCAAGCACAAAAAACACCAGTTACTATTTATAGTTTCTAAAGTGTGATGCTGCTTTCCGTTGTTGTAAAGGAAATACTTTAGAAATGAGGACCGTTGTTTCAACAAAACAACTGAAAGTGTTACACTGAGTTCAATGGAACTGTAATGGGCATAATACTGAATTTTCTATTGTCTAAGAATAAGAAGCTGACAGTTCAGTAGAGGTGGGATGTAATTAAAATACATTTACACGAAAAAATAAAAATTAGGTTGTGTCTGTTGATATTAGTTTCAGTGCACTTTATACTTCACTGCACTCTTGTTCAAAGGGAAACATTAGTTTTTTTACTTATTATACTTGGACATACCCAGAGATTATAAAATACATAAACAATAAAAAAAAACCCAGCTTCACCTCAGTCAAAACAACACAGTAAAATGTTACTTATACAAGAATGAATCAGCATTGAATCAGCGTAATATATATGTAACAGCACGCCCATGAACTATTTTCTGTACTATTTATATAAGTAGTACACGTTGCTATTCATACTTACGTGTGTACCTTTTCAATGCAGGTCACTGTCACACTGTGCTATTACTTTTTTTTAAAGCAGACAAATGACTTAGATACTTTGCCAACCAGTACAGTTTAATTAATAATACAAATAATCACTGACTACATTTCTGTACTCAGTGGCAGCTTAAGACCAGAGTGTCTAAGAGAATATTAGAATGTTATCGTCTTGTACCCACATTGTGTGTGTGTGTGTGTGTGGTAGGAATACTAAAAAACAGTCCTGGATCTATGTGTTATTCCGATCCTGTGTTATAGTCCTCGGAAATATAAGGATATAGTTGATCAATAACATTGGGATATTAATTTAATGTGGACGCTTCTTGTTTACTACATAAGCAATGTGATCTCTCTCATCATTAACGCAGCTAAGAAAATATGGCATCCAAGAAGCAATGAACACATATTTTATTCTCACATTGTAAGCTACTGTAGTCAGATAAGCGATCATTAGGCTAAAAACAGAGTTTTCAGTCTTTCTGTCAACACAGGCAGTAGATTTGTTGTTCTGTTTACTGTTGTTTCTTTCATAGGACATCATAAGGTATACCGTTATGCAACCTGGTGAGTAAACTTTTCCCCTCACCTGCTCTTGCATCTCTTCTCCAGGACTATTTAAAGGATCAGTCATGCAAATTAGAATTAAACTGCATGTATGAGAACAAGTATTTCCAAGGCATGTGCTTACATATAGCTGTGTAAATAATCATATATAGGACTAATTCTAAGGCACACAGTCACACAGATCTATCAGTGTGAAAGTAAAAGGGTACCTGCCACGTAAAGCTCTTGAGACTGTAATGCATGCTTTTATTAACGCCCGACTGGATTACTGTAACTCTCTGTATTTTGGCCTGGACCAGTCGCTCTTGCATCGCCTGCAGCTGGTACAAATTGCAGCTGCCCGTCTCCTCACTGGCAAACGCAAGCGTGACCACATATCCCCACATCCTAGCTTCACTGCACTGGCTCCTGGTTGCTTTTAAAATAGATTTTAAAATTTTTATTATTTGTTTGTAAAGCTCTCAACGGCTTGGCGCCCTGATGCCTCAGACCTCCACGTCTGTTGAGGGATGGTCTTTCCAGTTTGACATAGATGGCTTATTTCCCCCCTCTCTCAAACTATCTGTCCTCCCTGCAGGCCAGTATCTGTACGTTGTTGTCTTCGAATGAGTGTCCTTTGTCCTTGAGATGCAGGTGGACTGCTGAGTCCTGTCCTGAGGAGGTGGTTCTTCTGTGCTGAACCATGCGCTTGTGGAGCGGTTGTTTAATCTCCCCGATGTACAGGTCTGGGCATTCCTCGCTGCACTGGACTGCGTACACCACGTTGCTTTGTTTGTGTCTCGGTGTCTTGTCCTTGGGGTGAACCAGCTTCTGTCTCAGGGTGTTAGTGGGTTTGAAGTGTAGCAGAATGTTGTGTTTGTTGAAAATCCTCCTGAGTTTTTCAAAAACTCCTGCAACACAGGGGACGACTATGTTGCTTTGTTTCTTGGTCTTTTCTTCTCTACCTCCTCAGGGTTTTGTAGAGGATTTGATGAAAGACCAGCTTGAGTAGCCACAGATGTTGAGTGCTGTCTTGATATGCTTTTGTTCCTCCTCCTTTCCATACAGCATGGAGAGAAGAACTCCAACATATGGAGAGAAGAACTCCAACATATTGTTATTGATTCTGACAGCGGTTGGGATGAAGGACCTGTGGTAGGGCTCCTTCTTACACTGTGGGTGAATCAGTCTGCTGCTGGAGGAGCTGCTCAGAGATCCCACAGTGTCATGCAGGGGGTGAGAGGTGGTGTCCATGATGGATCCTCCTCTATGGAGTCCAGCAGACAGTCTAGATCCAAAGTCCAAATCTTCTCTAAAGACACACCTCTTCTCCCTCGCTTTTAATCAAGTTTAAGTGGACTTTTGGCAAAACTGTAATTAATTTTATTCTATTTTATAACACCGTGTTTATGTATTTTAGTATTATTTATGTATTGTAACTGCTGCATTCTATTGATTATCTTGATTTTAATGTGTACAGCACTTTTGTTGTTTTAAATGTGCTCTTTAACTGAAGTTTGAGTTGAATCATGGGTTAAGCAGTGTCTCGCATTTTATTTTGAAATGACTTTAAACTGGAGCAGACTGTCGAGCTGGGTTAAACCCCAAAGATCCTAATAACGCCTCTGCCTACGCAAGTCTGCTTCTGTTATTTTGTGGTAGTTTAGAGATGCCGGTAGAAGCAGCCCACAGAGGAGGAGGTATTCCCCCGGTACTTACCATGTGAGTCAGCTGCTCCATCACACACTCCACCACCTCGGACTTGTTCTCCAGCAGCTCCGGGCTGAACTTCTCGTTCAGCCAAGCCTAAGAGTCACACACACACAGCAGCACAACCCAGGTGATTCAGCGACAAGACACCGACTGCTTTTATTTTTAAAAAGCCCGTACGAGCTCTATGTTACTACACATCACTGTCAAACGGGATCATTTTGGTAACATCGGCTCACTTCTTCCAGTTTGGCGATCAGCTCGGCCGGAGTCATGACGTCCTCCTGGCTGTCATCTTGGTTGATGCTGCCGTCGTCAGACAAAGAGTCCGACATAGTTTATCTTCGCCAAATAAAACAGACACGAATGCTTCTCTTCAGCGAAATGTAGTTTTAAAACTAAAATGTACAACTAGTCAAACTAAATAACCTGTAAAATACACCGAAACGACATATACTAGCAAAACAGCAGCGTGTATTTGGAGAGCTACTTGTTTATTCGCGCCACTGGAACTCTTCTCGCGAGATTTTGGGAATAGTTTAATACCCCAGTTTTGCTTGTAAGGCAAGATTTCTCGCAGGCAGTGTACAGTGTGTATCAGTGTCTGGCGGGGTATTCAATCAAATGCTTTAGTTTACACGGATAAAATGGATGTTTCGGTTATTCCTGCTGTAATTGTCTGCATTTGCTGCTACAGGAGCCCTGGTTTTCTACAATGTGTAGGACCATGACTGCCTGAAATACACTACTCAGGGACATAATATTTCCAGGTCAGACTCACCCAGAAAGCTTCAGTAAGAAGCAACTTGACTACACAACAAATATCCAACAAATATATACATTTCTAGATTTTCATATGCTGACGATAAATGCATTTTCTGTAAAACTGAAACTGAAAGTATCATGCATTTATTTATTTATTTATTTATTTTATAAATGTTTAATTTGTGTTACTCGTTGGAAAGACTTGGAACAAAACTACAGTTAAATTTCAATTGAAGAGAAAAACTTTATTTTCGTTTTTTTCTGACAAAGTAGTAAATATAACATTATCAACCTTTTCATCTTATTGGCTAAATTCCACATTCATAAAGCTAGGATGTCAAAAGCAACCCCATCATTTAATTGGTTTTTAATTGAATTGTAGCTTTATTTTGAGTATCTGAAATACATAGAAAAAAATAACAAGGAATGTACCTTGATTGATATTGTCTGCCACTTTATATTAACTTGTGTATTATTTTAGAATTATTCTTATCTCCTTTGATTATTTTTATTTTTTCCATCCTCATGCATTGATGTCTTTCAGCTGCATTTTGGAATATTTGTATATATCATATTCCTACTATTATACACTATTCACTGTTGAACTTAAATGAAGATTGGGGGAAAAAATAAGTAGCTTTACTTCCCTCTTTAGTTTTTTAAGAGATTTCACCTGTCATCCACAAGATTTCCTCAATTCTAACTGCTGATGTGGAGTTCATAATGTAGACTGTCACTCACAAATCACATGGCCCATCACTGATTCATATGTCTCAGACTGTGAATGGTTGTGAAACTGCCAGGTGATGGATGACTCAAAACGTCAATCACAATGAAACTATATGGAAAAGGATCATAACTTGAGGAAGCGCGTTTTGACCTTCTCTCTCTGACATGTTTCCTTCGCCATTAACTGTCCAAATGAGGTGTAAAAAAAAAAGTCCCAAAAAGTTAAGACTAATTTTTTCCCCGTCTGTGGACAGAGTAGGAGGTTACAGCACTTTCAAGTCTGCTTTTGTGAGTTTTGTGGTGGGAAGTATTTAAGTATTGTACTGAAATACAATTTGGACTACTTGTGCTTTGCTTTAGTAATTCCATCTTAAGCCACTTTTTATTTCCACTACATCTCAGAGGTGAATATTTTTATTCTACTACATTTATTTGACAGCATTTATTTTGCAGATTTAGGCCAATGATGTGAAGTATAATTAACAAATACATTACATTGGATATAATAGATTATATATAATTAAAAAGTATTAATTCCAAAGAGGAGATTCACAAGACATCAAGACATTTGTTACTGTGTTAATGCACCTGCTGGTCTAATATTTACTACAGTTCCTACACAATCATGTAGAGCTGGATCCAGATTTTGAAAATCCAGACATTCTGTTCTAACAACAAATACCTCTGTCTGGGCTGACTTTCTGATGAATCTCTATGAGTGTCAGCTAAGTTGTTCTTCTTTGGGGAACCAATCACAGATTGTCCTGATGAAGCTACAATAAGCTTTAGATACTTAAAAACATCCCACTGGAGATGTGTTTGTGTCCACTCGGCAAACATCAGTCCAGCATTTACATTGTTTTACTTCTGTGTTTGACCTCTACCAGCTCCTTTAACTTCTAAAAGCTTCATTCTGTTTACAGCAAACACACCACAAAAAAACAGCTTTAATATAAACGATCCAGGTGTAGGTTCGTCAATGACACATCATACAACCAAAACAGGTTTTTATCTGAGTTTGAGCTGATGGTCGTGACTCAGGACGTAATTTATGTTCAGCTTTTTTTTTGTCAACATCATCACACCTTCGACGCTGAATGAGACTCACTCTGCTCAAATGATAAACACTGGAAAACACTGACAGCTCACTGTGGTGACACCTCACGTCACAGTCTGCTGTTGCGGCAATCCTCCAGTTGCATGATTGACTTTCTGAGAATGAGTCTGCGTCTTCTTGACCACACGTGCGACAATTCAGTTCTCGTCCACAGAGCTGCTTCTTCGCGACTCACTTCAAGAAACATTCAGTTGCTGCAGAGAAAGCATGCAAAACCTCCACATAGCAGGACTCCAGCCGTCAGTGCAGCTACAAAACAGAAACGGAATAAATGTAAGGACAAGAGACACTTTTTTTTTTTTTTTTCAGAGTGGACCATCAAAGCAGGTTACACATCTCAAAACTGGTTGTGTCCTCTGGCAGAATTCTCAGATTGCTACAAGAGGGAATGATGAGGACACAGTGTCGGGGGAGGACGTACATTTTTTTCCTCTCTTAAGTTGTCCATGCAGCCATCAGATGGGCTGTGTGTTTTATCACTATACCAAAAAAATATATATTCAAGTCAGGAAGGATCGTTTTCAGAGTTATTACATCCAATTAGGTAGTTAACGTTTTCATTTCTGCCCTCGACTGTACAGTTACTCCAAGTAATTGATTTTTATTAGTAATTAGTAACCTTATCTGTTAAAAAAAAAGAAACCATATCAGTATGTGATATCTTAACTCCCATTTTGACACAGCTTTTGTCTACCTTCTGTGCTTTAACAGCGTTACAGAATTCCTGGAATTCAGCTTTGGATTTCGTGTGACTCTGAGCAGATCCATCTGCCCACCACAGAGAAAAGTTTCTAGAGGTGCACCTATCAAGAAACAAAAAAAAAGAAGTCTGCCTGCCTTCATCTCAGAAAAACGCCTACTATTTAATCCAGGGAGAACACATATTAGCTATCTGGTCTTGTGAATACAAAGAGTTCCCAAAAGAGATTTTCCACTGAAGTGAAGCTGAGTGACAACATAACTGACTTGCACCACATGGAGTGAAGCTGCTGACTTTTTCCTGGATATTAATAACAAGTCATTATTCTCGAAAGTGGCAGTATTGCAATGAATGGATGAACACACAATATGGGTATTTACACAATAAACGAAACAGAGCATTGCTGTCGAAATATGGATTCAGAGATTCCCGAAGTCAACTTGTCATGTTTCCTGTGTTCGCTCTGCGGTTCAGCGACTGCAAATTTATCAGAAATGCCATCATCTGCTCGATCCAGCTGTTCTGCACCACAGTGTGGGCTGCAGCAGAATCTCATTTGTCTGATTTCCTCTTCCTCTTTCCTCCTCACTGCTCTTGCCCCACAGTTCTTTGTTATTTTCACCAGTAATGATCTTGCATCCGCTGTGGTTCTGCCACTACGGTTCAGTATCGCGCACCAGGTGTCACAGCAGCATCCTCTGAGCTTGTCTGTGCGACAGCAGACCTGCAGGGCTGAAGCCAGGTCCCACCGCAGCCTTGCAGAGCTGCAGTTGCTTTGTAAAGCACACAAACAGCCACTAATAGCAACAGCTGCCCAAAGTTTGTGCTCAAAAAATAACATGAAATGCAGTCTGAAGGCAGAATGAAGGCTTAATAGGATATTGCAGTGTAAAAAGGTGGGACTTAAAAAAAAAAGGAAAAATATGAAAATCTCTACACAAAATTAACATTACCATGGTGGTGATATGTCGTGGGAAAAATTCAGAAGCAAAGATTTTAATATTCTCATGTTTATTTGTTACTTCTTCTTGATTTTCTTTTTAAATACATTTGAATGACAATACGATCTGCACACAATATTTAAAAAACATACTTAACACTGATATAAGGCAGCATTCATACAGTATAATCCTCAACAGACTTTACAATACAGTACCATGAAAACCAGTAGGGAGTTTTTGGCTTTAAAAAAAAAAAAAACTATTTAAATTGTGCAACTGACAACAAATGAGGCATGACTGACATTTTGACAAAAATAGAATTTCAAATCTGGATCTTTAACCAAACCGGATGTGTTTAAGCGGTTGCCATAATCATAAATAAATGTCATTTACATTGACATTTTTTTTTTCTTGTACATATAATTTTCTAAAGTGACGTTTCTACACATACAAAAAAACAACATTTAAAAAATGATAAAACAGAAAAACGTAATTGTAACAAAGGTTGCTCTCAGTTGACACTAGCAGCTACAGAAACATGGCACACAGTCATGAGTGATTTCTCCCCAAGTAATGCACCGATTCAATGCACTCTGACCCGTTTCGCTGTAATTCTCTAAATATCTCTCGCCAGCACTGCTCTGACTTCATTTCCCCTCAGTGCACTTTGGTCCCGGAGGAGCCACACAGTCGGTCGGTTAATTGCAGTTTTCCAGTGAGAGATTGTTGTGAGCGAAGCCACAGAACCTAAATATTCGTGTGCGTACACATATTTAAAGGAAGGCCTCGGCAAAATTACACTGAACAAAGGAAAAGTGGGACAACATACTCAGAGGCTGCAACTTAAAGACAATAATTCTCATTGATGTTGTTTGTTAAGTAAACAACAATCACTAAAGTCTGGAGTTGACATATAAAAAAAAAATCACAGCTTGTGAGAATAAATGGGATTCATGGGGGGTAGGCTGTATGCAGTGTGGTGGTTTAACAGAGGGATGTGGTAGGGATAAGGGTAGACAGCAGACCCAATGAGAGCAGAGTGAGCTGCTGGGCCCATCGGTAGATGACGGTACACCAGCTGAGACTGAGGCAGCCTCATTCTGTTCGGGAGAAACGCAGGATGTAACGCGGGCTGGTGCCGAGAGTCTCTCCCTGATTTGTCGTAGCCCGACAGAACGCACTGCACCGGCAGATTGGCGGGGGAATGAGACAGACTCTGCTGAGCGGGAGGAACTTTTTGTGGCATTGTCCTGGATTTCTCCCTCTTTTCCATCTGATAAGGCCACGGAGCCACGTTGTTCACCTTCTTTGCGCAAGACAGAGAGTCGTCCTGCTGGAGCAACCTGCTCTGGTGGCCTTTATAACTCGGCCGAATGGGTGCGGGCCGCAGAAGCGGCACAGATTTCGGAATAACTTTGGTGAAACTAGAGGTAGATGTCGGAGCCCAGTCAGGTTTCACAGAGAAGGAGGACAAGTGGGAAGGACGAGTGAGATATTTGCCAGCCCCTTTGTGGTAAGGCTTCCAGGTCAAATCTGTAATTTGGCTTTTTATTGAGTCAGCAGTCTGTGAGTGGGAGCTGACCGGAGAAACGTCCTTAATCGGTCCTGCGGGGTCTTTAGATGTCTGGCTGCAGCTCACAGACTTGCGCTCCTCACTGCTGCCGGATGTGTTCTTAGCAGTGCCAGAGCAGTTTTGGGGCAGTTCTGAGCTTGAAGCAGGTTTATCTTCAGTTGCTGCTGAAACGTCCTCCGATGAGACAGAGTAAGGGGAAGGGCTGCGGGACGAGGAGGAGGATAAAGGCAGTGGGGAGCCATCGGAGGAGTTGTAGTTCCTGCTGGAAGAAGCCCGAGCTGGAGACTGGGAGCAATGGATGACAGAGGGCCTTTCTTTATCCTCGCTCTGAGGACTGAGAGGCAAGTTAAGACTGGCCTGAGCCATCCGCTTTTTTTTCTCCAGAGGAGAGATGACCTCTCCGGCTGCAGATGGAATCTGAGCAATCCAGGGGCTGGACGTGGGGACCTGGAGGAGACGGGCATAGACAGAAGTGCAAAGATCTGTGTTGGCTCTGTTTGGCTGAGAGCAGTCTGGGAGGCGTCGGTCAGAGGTGGCGGCCCAGAGGGCAGAGTGAGGATGTATCACTGCTTCACCTTGACAGGCAGCTTCTGGACTTCTTTGGGCGAGTATCTGCAAGATAATATAGATATTTTATTACATAATATGTACAAAAACTGGAGCAGAAATCAGCCCGTTTTTTTACTATTTAGATTTCATTTCAGAGATGCCATTTGTTACCTCAGAATCCACCTCTCTGTCAGAGTGAGTCCTCTTCCTCTTCCCCTCGGCTTTGCTCACTTTGCCATCCAAGTTTCTCTTATAAGGCTTCCGTGGTTTGCTTGGAGGCAGAGGTTTGTCCTCCTCCCCCTTTATGTGTCTCTCAAAGGGAAGAACCAGCCTGCGAGCAAAACAACAGATTGAAAGTTGGCTGATTTTGCGATTGAAACCAATTGGAAGCGGGAGACAAAACCGATCCTCACCTCTCATAGTGTCTGCGGGTGCAAGTAGCAGCGCTGGTGCTGCCTGGACTTCCTCCAAGCTCATCATACACTTTCTTCCAAAGACGTCTTGCTGTCACCTGTTGGTTGGTACAGTGGAGACAACAATGTGTATGATTACCAAGCCCAAAACTGTTGCAATAATCTTTATTTCACGTGTGAGGTAATGGATGGTAATGGCTGTCAGGAAGAATCACAAACTGGTTACTAGGGGGCCACATTATGGGGAAATGGCCATTTTAGATAGTATAACTTCCTTTTGTGCTATTTTTGTGTTGAAATAGATCCAGAACTGACGGTGGTTGAAATCATACTGGATTAATTAGTAATTAATAATAAATATGTATTTAGTAATTAGTTTATTTTAATGTATTTGACTGTTGTTGCTCTTAATGACCAAGCTCCACAGTATCCTAAAGAACCCATTGGACTATGTTATCCGAACACAGAACCTCACTCTCACACTGCAGGTGTATTTGTGGTGCGCAAAGTTTTCAAAAGCAAAATGTGAGCCAGACTCTTCAGCTAACAGGCTCCTCTGCTCTGGATTCAGCTCTCAGTTTGGACTCATGACGCAGACACCCTCTGCCTTTAAGATTACACTGAAAATGTTCCTTGTCAGTGATTTTCTGTTAAAGAAAAAACGGGTCCAAACTGTCTTTTTTTTCCCACAAGTCATGTAAGTTTTTAAATGTGGACAAGAAATAAGCTCCAGCAGGTCTGGCCATAACATGTGAAATGTGGAGACATTGGTTTGAGGTGTTTGTGTTTGTGGGCTACCTAGGTGTGAAATGCTATTTCAGTGCTTTCTACTGCAAACCAATTTCCCCACGCGGACACATAAACATCTGTCTATCTATCTTTGTGTTTTTTACTCTCCTGTAGTTTGTGTTTTGTCCTCTCTGTCTGGATCTGGAGCCACATGTTCCTAAAGTCTCATCTCACCAAAGTATTTAATGTTCTTTTGTGCATTGTTGACCTGTTCTCAGCTCAGTTCTGCTGGAAGGTATTTCCTAGTAAAGCTGAGTTTTTCTTCCCACTGCTAACAAGTGCAGGTTCATAAAAGAATCCAAGGAAATCTTTGGATTTGTCGCTGGGTTTCATTGTATAATGCCTTGAGTTAACATATATTATTAATTGTTGCCCTATAAATAAAACTGAACTGCGCTGAATTGTGCGTCATGTGACTGGACTCTGGCATATCTGCTTCCACAGCTAGTTTTAAAATTGCATTTGAGGAAGAACAGTGGCTGGTTACCCTTTAAATGCCATGGCTGGTGGTTTTCACTTCTGAAAAAACACTTTCTTTTTTCTTTTTTTTAAACTTGGGCACATGTAGGCAGCTTATATTGTCGTGTTTACACCCTGGGACCCAGCGGCGGTGGTCAGCTCCAACCCTGATCTGGTTCCATTTCAGTGTGAGTTTCACTCTCACAACTTGTCCCACAGTATCAGCATCAAAGACAACACAACAACAGTGAGAGATCAGCAGCCTAAACATCCCCCACGTTATGACGTCTCATCTAAAGCTCAGTTTCCACTTAAACACCAGTACACTACAACCTTCCTGCACCAGTTAAAGAATTTTGAACAACTTACTGAATCATAGCCCCCAAGTTTGTCAACAGCTTTGTAGATCTTCCAAAGATTAACTGAGAGAGGAAATGACACACATATTAATATTTTAATTCCAAGTTTATGTGAATATTGTGCTCATACAGCAGCGTGCTAACGGACACAAACTCACTCTGCTTGAAGCCCAGATGTGGAATCCTCTCTATAGGAGTTCCTTTCTCCTTCATAAAAGAGTGCAAGCTTGACGCGAAAGCCTTCTCCTCCATCTGCACCTGACTGGGCCTTACTTCTTCTTCGCATTCGGTCGTAGAGTCATTTATCTCAATCACAGAGGGGGAAGCCTGGTGTGGAGAGAAGGCAACAGAAGCACAATCAGTGTGTTTTGTGTGAAAATTATCTTGCAAATTCAACAAGATCCCCTGCGCTGCAAGGAAACCTGTTTAGCAGTTAAACGTAAGATACAATGGATGGGAAAAAACGCACACAGAGTCATCTGTAGACGTAAATGATGAAATGAAACATCAAAATCAGAGAGAAGGGTTTTACCACTACTTTCAATAGATAACCGCTACACATCCTGTCTGGAGAGAAAGCAGCAGACTTGTGGGGTTTTTGGTCTAGAGTTGTCAGTCACTGGTATCACATATGTCAGTTGAAGCCAAAAGACCAGGTTTGTCTATAAGGTCTTGTAAGCATTATATATTGTGGGGCAAACAGCAGTTAAAGATGTCTTATGGCGGCTAAAAATGTGCCATGTGTTTATACAAAACTAGCGTCCGCGATGCTGATAAGGATTTTAAGATACCAAGAAATGAGGTGTACCCAGCTTAGACTACCCAGAACTAGTGTAAGAAATTGACAATGTCACTATTTGTGGTTTGCAAGAAAGGAGAAATGAAACAGTAAGGGCATGCAGAATTAAAAGCATCAGTTAGAAAGAATTCAAGAAGAGAAGTACGAAACACTTAAGAAGAGAAACTGGCTGAGGATCAGGCGGTTTCTGTATTTAAGCCTTGATGATCTTGTAAAACCTTACTGTTGGACGAGGCCGACATACAGTCTACGTGTGATATAAATAATAGGAAGCTGTTCCTTTTTAAACAGCCGTGGCATTATTTCTGCTGCGTGAATGCAACTCAAACGCTGATGCAGTTGCTTCTGTTATTGCAGCGAAATCAGAGGCTTCAGATTTTTACACCAGGCTTGTTAAAAAAAAAGAAAAAAGAAAAAAAAAGTGAAATCTCACATCACAGCTGCAATGATCAATTTCAATAGTTTGGATGTCACAGGAGACAGTGTCAATATTTTACTTTTGAATCACCACACGCAGAAGCCGATATTTATGTGGCACTCGTTGTACAACAAAACAGCTCGAGGTGGTTTCATATTGAATCAAGTTCCTCTGTGTGGTTCCTGGTTCCGAGAAGTAAACCTCTAGAGTGAGTAATAGTGAAGGTGCAGGCCTCTAACCAAGATAGCCCCGACTGAGTCACAGTTCAGCAGCTCCACTCTGCTGTTCCCAGCTAACAGCCAGCAGCTCTTGACTTTCCACTGTATCACCTATAAAAACACACTGATGAGCTGCTTTTCCCATACATACATGCGATTTGTTTGTTTTTTTTTTAAAAGGGGATGTCTAACAAAACATAATTCACAAACCACTTGAAGCCGCCTGCATGTATCTGATGAACTACGTCAATATCTTGCTGGGAATCTTGCATGAAATTCATCTGTATTTGTGAAGTCATTTTCTTTTTAAAATCTGATTCACAAAACTTTCAGGTTTATGCATGAATAGCTGCCTACAGGAAACATCAAGCCACGTACCGTAGCCCCTTCTCTGCTGCAGATCCCACTCGAGATAAGAGGGCGAATATCATTGTGAAACATTTTCACACATTAATTTTTTTTTTCTTCTTTTTTTTGGAAAATTGTGTGGGCTGATGTTGATGTCAATGTGTTGCTATGTGATTCTCACAATGATTGTCAGTGGCGTTCTGGATCGATGCTATCGGCAGGCCAGAAGTCACCACAGAAACCACCGGGCTTTCAACTAACATCAGCCCTGGAAATTTGATGAGCTAATTTGTGTTTCTCATATTGTAGCTCACACTTCAGTTACCAGAACAGCGGCAGCGAGTGGCGGCGCTCCTGCAGTTTCTTTATGCGCCAATGTGAAATATTGCGGTGTGTGAGATGTGCGTGCGTTCTGTGGCCCTCTGAGAATACAGAGAAGAATCACTTATTCCTTGTTACTCATTTCACAATCAGCCATGAAGATGAAACGACTGTACACACACAATCAGCATTTCAAAAACTCTGCCACTATCTCAAATCCACTAAAAAAGGGAAATGAAAGCACAACACATTCTGAGCAGTCATGTCTGTAGTCACTGATTAACTGTAAATGATAGAAATTGTTCAGACTGCTGCCAGAAGACCAACTGACATTTTTATCAGCAGTGACGGAGGTCGTTACCTGACTCGTCGCCTTCTCCTCGTCACTGGCTGCCGTCTGTTGTGATGCCTCGCTCTGATCCTCTTGAGCTTCAGACATTACAGAGAAGAGACATTTAACACTCCAAAAATAAGTCCTCGGAGTTTGTGAATTTGAATTCAAGGAAACATGGCGAAGAAGCACTTCTTCATTTTGAGAAACATTCTATGTAGCAATGTACAGTCCAAACAGATTTTTTTTGCTTAAAAATAAAACTACATGTGCAATGGTCAGATGATGAATTGGAGCAAGAAAATAGTAATCTGTAGAACATATTGTCAACTGTGTGTGATATAAAACCACAGGTTGCAAAACCACTTCCTGCTCATGAACATAACCGCCTGTATGCTGCAGTGTATGGTATTGTAACACAAGAACTACAGTGTTTTGCAAGATCATCTAAAGCCAGATGCAATTACAGTGAAGTTACGTGACCCTAAATACTCTGTATTCGAGTGAGCATGAGGAAGGAGGACCAGTGTTAGAAAATAATGTGTGTCTGCTTTTAATAATCTCGTCCTAAAGTGTCTGAGTGTAGTTTTGCTTGTTTCATCAGGATCACATGTACACATTTTAGGAGAGAGAGAGAGAAAAAGAAAAAAGGAAGAAAGTCAAAAATAACAAGCCTGGGAATGAAATGTGATTCTGAGAATGAAATTTCATTCTTCACAAACTGTCAGCTCGATACCTCACAGCCCTCCACCCACACTGATATCATTTATGTGCAAAACCAATATGCTTCTCTTTTGAGATCACTTGTTTCCTGTGCTGCGGCTTGAACCTTTAATTCTGCTTTCAGTAGCCCCGAACTTCTCTATTTCACATGTTCAAGAATTATTTTTGATATACTGTTTCAAACATGTACTGCTGCTGTTTACGGCTGCTGAACGTCGTGTATTAAAACAAGCCTTTGTAACTTAATCAGATAGTTGCGTCAGTCAAACTTCTGTGAAAGATTAATTTTAGCACTGTAAAACTGAGATTAACAACAAAGTGCTGCTATGACATACGTTTCTAAATGTAGTAGTTTGTTTCTTTCATAAATTAATATCATTGCAAACTTGGTCAGTCAAAGTGCTGATATTTAACAATATAATACCTAAAATTAGACAGTATTTAAATTGTACTGATTGTGTGAAACAGTAAAAAATAAACAGTATCTGACTTTAAATAATGATAAAAGTCATTCTCACCCATTTCCAGAAGTTGTCCTCTAGTCTCTGGCTTGACTGTGTTTTGTGACAGTAATTCATGCGTCGCTCTCTTCAACTTGACATCATGAAATAGGAAGGTGTCTCCACAGGACGCTTTCATTGGCTGACTGGTGGCACTGCAGCAAACGATTCTGGGAAACTGAGTTTTTCTTTCTCTCTTTTTTTTGTTCAAGTCTCACAATGTTTCATCTCCTGATTTTCTTAAAATGCAAATGCTTTATATGTTATCACCACATGTGTTCTTTTCTCATGTTGTATGTTTTACTGCACATAACAGTGTAAAGATGAGTATTATAAATCAGTTTTATTTTGCACAGTTTCCATATTATAAATTGAATAATAAGTGAAGATTGTCACAAATAAGAAGAAACAGAAAGTTAAAAGGATTTACTTTATTTATTTTTTTGACAGGATATTACCAAAATTAAAAACCTGGTCATGTTTAATCTACAGACTAGACTCAAATTCAGGAAAGTTACTTAATTTAGGGAAGTGAAATAAACACTGATGTTCAAATGAAGGTTTAAAAGCATCTAAATGTAGATTTGACATTTCCTGGACTTACACACTATTAAAACAATGTTGTTGTTTTTTTTTAAGTGGACTCTTAAATCAAGGAGGCACAAGGATACACCACGTGCTTGAGGATTCAGATCAGGACAAATTGCATGTCTCACAACTGATGTATGACAAAAAGAAAGTAGCTGATATTAACATCTGCATGTCTGGTCAACTGACCTCTTACTAACAATGAATCTGCACCTTCCAACCAATCAGCCCCCACAACATTTAGTGATGTGTGTTCAAGTGAGAGGACATGCGCTGCTCTCTCAAAACTGTAATGTGAAAATATTAACTATCACAGTGAATTTGTGTTTTTAAAGCATCTCGCTTCATTGATTTATTATCTTTATTGTTAAAATGAAAACAAAACCGAGTTAGGGACCAACGTTAGGGACAAAACCATGTAGTCGTCTTATATTTAGATTCAAAGATTTAGCTGATGTTGCTCTAGTGTAAATAGATAATACTTTTTTTCTGTTTTCTAAGGAAGTAATTTTGACGTAATCCAACTGAATGACGTTTCCTTTGTCTTGATAAGCAGCTTTATCTGAGTTATTAGTAATCAGAAACAAAGGAAATGCCAGTCTAGGCTTCTGTTGTATAAACTAGGCTTACCTAGAATACTTCAGAATTGTCTCTTTGACTTTATTTCAAGATTTTATGGACAGTATGACTGACTGTGAGACTTTTTATTCACTCTTCTAGCAACCAGATGTGCTTGTGCTAAGTTTCATGCTCATATCCAGACACTCTGGCATTAAGTTTGACAGAGTGTTCTTGCAGTGAAAGGAATCTTGTCATGTGGTACTCGTGAAGGGAAGAGAGGCGGTTTCATGTGATGCTGATGCAACTTTTTAAAGTTGGAGCACATCATTTTCTGTGAAGCGTATTGGCAATGTGGATCTTTGAGCGCATCACGGTAAAGAAATTATACCAAAAACTTTCCGCCCTGACCCGAATGTGAGTGAAACTGTTGCCGTGCAAGTAAATGACCTGAATTAGAAATTTGCTGCCAAAACTGCATCATTGAGTGTAACCGGGCTTTAGATGGGAGTCACACAAGCATGCTGTTTTGACTCACAGCTACCAAAAGCTGAGTGAACACAATCTCCAACAGCTCACATGCAGCCAATAGAAGGTTTGAAGAAGCTGCAGGGATTTACAACCTTCAGCATTTTAAGGAAGAAGGAACGCGCTACTTCTTTAAAGTGGTTTCTACTTAAAGATATTGGCAAAAATAAAACAACAGGACAATGCAGGAGCAGCCGTTTCCACTAGAACGGGTGAAAAACGGTCATCTGGTTCCTTACAAGCAGTTATGAGTCAGAGGGAGTTGTCTTAATACTTTATGTCCCATATGGCCACATGCTAGTGACCTTCCAAAGTAGTGAAGTTACTACATTTTTACACAACTTAAAGACTTCCTATTTACCTTCTTAAGCCTTTTTTTTTTTTTGCATCATTTTCTGATATTTTCTCAAAAAGGCCACATTTAAAACGTACTGTATTTTCCCTCCATTTTCCTTCGACCGCCTCACAATCAGTAAATCTCTACAGATCTCGTGATAAAAAACAGTAAAGAGGCCGTGCTTAACACGATCCACATTTCCTCCGCATGTTTTTGATCTTTTTGAAAGGGGGATGCCCTATTCCCCTGTTGCGGATAGAGAATGACATTTCAAAATGATTAGCATTTAAATGTCAAAATAACCAGATATCTACAAACTGCCCAAAAAATAAAGGGATTTTTTTTTTAGTTCTATAGATACAAAACAACTTTTGTTTTTCTTTTTGAGACATTGCGACTTTTATGATTATTAAATGGAAAACGTGGTGATAAACTGTAAATGACGTCCTAATACATTAACAAATGACAGACTTGGCTGCCTGTGAATATTTAGCTGAGAAATAAAGAAGTCTAGATTAGATTTCTCTTTCACTACGTAAATGTAGACGCATTGAGAGTTAACGCAAGAGTGAAAAATGTAGAAATATGCAAATATCAGGTGTTCCGGCATTTGAACTTCTACAAAAAGAACGCAGTTTATGTCAGTCGCGAGGCTTTATTGGAACTGTATCTTAATTCTACGTAATTGCGACAATATGTTTTGCACAACTCTTGCGAGCATTTCTACCTCCTGCAGCCAACAACAAATGTGGGGACGATGAGCAAAAACATAGATTGTAAGATCGAGAAAATCCCCTGCGATTCATTTCAGACTTTCACTGACATAAACATATGAAGGTTGGGGTGAGGGCAGCACAATGTAAATGAGAATGTGTGGAGAGAATATTGTGATTCCAACACAGAAAAAGTTTCCTGTCTCAAGTGACTCACCGTACTGGGAACAATCTGCAACGGCCACATTGAGATTGTGGTGACAAACTGTCGTTAGCCGGACTTAAAAAAAATAAGAGTTCTTCCAGCGTTAATAGATTTAAATATGCACCATGTGGTTGTTTGAGGGCTAGAAAAGATCCTTCAGACGTATATTTGAAATAACAGAGCTTTAATAGTGGAAGTTAGCAAAATTGTGTAGGTGGACATGGAAATTATCCTGAAACTACACTTGGTGATTAATATCTTGACAAGCTAATATTAATTTACATTAGATAACAGTTTCAGTTCAAATTGGGCACAAGCTGAGGTCGAATATGTATTCATGTGGGACAGGGTCATGAACCATTCTGTACTTATAAAAGCTTAATTTGTTCTAGAGAGAGCAAACTTGTACAAATCAGAATTTGGTTCACACGTGTGAAAAGGAGGGAAAAAAAAACAACAACAAGGAGGTGTGAGAGTTTTTCTAATTATTCAGTTTCCATTTATTTTGCAATTGTAAAATAGATATAAAGCGGTTCATTCGTGAGACGGATTGTTCTCGTTCACTTCAACGATTTAACTGAAAGATGTGGGAGAATTAAAATCTGATTTTCATGTGAAATTGAAACCTATGCATTAGAGGTGAATTCCCCAGCTGTTGCCTCATTCCAGGAAACTGACTGCAGAGCACATACAGAAGCAGTGTATACATCTGAGTTCCTGTTAAACCTCTGAAAATCCCTGAAGGTTTTCTGTGTTATTTCAACTGTTATTTTTTTTTAATCGTAGAAGCAGCCTATGCTATCCTTTGTCTATACAAAATATACCAACACATCTTGCTTTATTTATTGATTTTATTATGAAGAATGTCTGTGCATTACAATAGCCTCTGGAAAAACAAACATGAATAATGCAATGGATACATAATGCCCTTTCCCTTTCATGATCAATTCGTCAACTGACCTCGAAGCTTCAAAAGAGCGAGGATTCTGTTCCATGATTAAAACACTTAACTTGCATAAATTCTGCTGTCGAGCTCCTCAAACGTTTCATTAAAATGTCACCGATCGCTTTTTCAGAGTACCACTGCATTCACGCTGCCTCATTATGGCACCAAAATGTCACATATTACTTGTCATAGATATGTTATGCACTCAAACTCAACCTCAGTCCAGCGAGATCTAAATAAAACGGAGAAAAAAAATGCTGACTTCCCTGAAAAGTTAAATATGTTGAAATGGTGTGGTTCAAATGAGGAAGGATTTGAAATGAAAACTGTTATTTACTCACAGTTACAAGGGATTTAACCATTCTATGTATTCCCCATTGAAGTCAAGCATCCAGAGCACAGCAAAAAATCATCTGTTTTTTTTTGTTGTTTTTTGTTCTTTTTAAATATTCACTTCAACCACAGTCAGATCAGTACAGGTTTGAAATTCACACAGGATCCAAGTTCAATCACATAAAAAAAAAAAAGGATAATTCAGTCTGCCGGTAAAGAAAGGCAAAAACAAGGCAAAAGATTATGCTGCAGCTGGTACCACCATCTTTGATTTTTTTTTTTTTTTTCTTTTTTCCTGAAATGAACAGGAACAACTGCTACAAGTAACAACTAAATTATACCTGAAATAGAACTGAAGCCACTTTGTCAGGAATGTGAACTAGAAGTGCTAATAATGCTCACGATTGAATTTAAGACACAACAAAGGCTGATACTGTACTGCATCACATTTACAGGTAAAGAGACGTATATTTTTGGGATAATAGGGAAGTTTTGGTCGGCCTGTGGGTCTTCACAAATCCCTAAACTATACCGTCAGCTGCTTACAACATCAACAAGTTAATGGAATTTCTTTCTTGAAATGAGTAAAGGTTTTTCAAAGCTTCTGGCCCCCAATTACCGTTGATGTTCGTTGGTCCACATTGTGGAGGCTTATTTGCTCCGTTTCAGCCCGATGTCTGGTGTGTGAGAACTGACTTTGCTGTGTTGTTGTTCTACTGCAGAGGTCCTCTGGGCCTGCCACTCTGGTGATCTGCGGGGGGAGAGGTGGGGAGTGTGTGTGTGTGCCGCGCTAGACGAGCTCCACGTAATTGGCTGGGAACATTCCAAAATGGCCGTCCGGGCCATAGCCTCGCCACCAGCCCTCATCGATCATC